TTATTCACCATAGTGACATTACATACCAAAAGTTATGACATTTTCCAAAGCACATTTATATGCCTCCATCTTCTGTTATAAGCTTTCAAAAATAAAATTTTTCTTTGTGACAATAAAAAAAATAAATATAGTGACGAATTAAAAAGTAGTCATAACATTGTATTATTGTTTATGGTATAAGCATCTCAACACTTTAATAAAATAGAAACATGTGTATATATTTACAATACTTTACGCCAACGGAACATTATATAGATATTTAGTAAATATTTTATTTATTTAATTATTTTTACGTGTTTTTAGTTTTCAGATTAAAATCAATACTATAGGTATGTACTCGTGTAGTGTGTACATTTTAATTTGATTAAACGTATTAATGAAACTGCTTGTAGTGTATACTTTCTAGTAAAGCCTTACCCAACTGACCAGCATGCTTGTATGAACATGTTAAATTTTAAATATAATATAGTGTATTAAGCGAAATAATAAAAAAATAGATGGTTCAAATATAACTATCACTCGGAAAAATTAAAATAATCGATTTGTGAATTTTCGGTTTTAGTATACTATTATAAGTATTAAAATATATTTTAAATACAATATTTTACATAGTGGGGTGGATAGTATTAGGTCAAATTTATAATTAAAAATTATTACCAGTACTGTAATCTGCATAGTTTTTACGATTAATTATTTCACACATAACAACAACTGTTGTAGGTATAGGCTAATGCAACTATGTATATATCAATAAATCATCATTAAAAATAATCGAAAATATTTTTGTCATAAATACGATACCATTAGGTCGTTTTCGACTGCTGTGTACGGTATGATGACACCCTTAACCATACAATCTGAAACAAAATTAAACAAAATTAAATATTCACGCATTTATTCTAAGCGGGAAATTATTTGTTTTATGATAGAATATTTTCTAGTACATCTGTAGTTAAATAATGAAGATTGAAAACACAATCATCTAAATTTTAGGAAGATGTGCATGATGTATTTTTCAAATAATTTTGAACAATATCAACAGAGTTATAGCAAATTTAAGTAAAAATATTTTACCGTATTTTTAACATTTTATTAAATAATATTCCCGCGGTCCGAATTAAAATGCACTATTCAATGGCACACAAACAAAATACTAATTTCTACTATTACTATTATAATCTGCTACCAATAGCTACCATTTTTAAACACATATAAACTTATTTTATAAAATAATTAAAAAAAAAAAAAAGAAAAAAACCATCATTGTAAAACCAATATGTTCCTAAAATAATAATCTATCAACAAAAAAATGAGCGATATCCTAACAAAAACACTCTGTCAAACTCTATGTATAAAAAATGCTAAGTATAAAAAAAAGTCTTTAAAAGTTGTAACATAATTGTATAGATAAGTCTTTGAACTATAGGTAATAGGTAGATATAATTTATGTTAAAATAGTATGCTAAATTATATTGATCTTAGCTCCTAAATTAATTAAGTTAACAATTTTAAAATACTATAGAATAATGACTTATGAGTACATAAAAATATAATTAGTCTACTATCATTGATATAGGTAGTGTATTACTAATCAAGTGTTTAATAAAGTCGCCAAGCTAAGTTCAATTTTTTAGCAGACTATTTTATCACAAATTATACATGTAGTTCAAAGACTTGGCTATAAAATTACATCACAACTTTCATAGCCGTTTTTTTTTTATACTTAGCAAATTTTTACACGGAGTTTGGAGGAGTGTTTTTGTCGGGATATAGAATATACTCGAAATAATATAATATGCAATAGATCATTGACATACGAGGTCCAACCATCTCTTTTTAACGTTGTCTCGTTTCGGTGACGCTGCGGCCATCTCTATATCTAGTTAAATCCGACTAAAATGTTCGATGAGAAATCGAAAACGATAATAATGCACGAAAATCCCAACACGCACTGGGTCCAATAATGTGATATATAGTGACCGGCGGGCTTGCCCGAACTATATACGCACCCGAAACGGTCGACGTGGGATTCATATGGTGGCACGGACCTATAACACATGGCGACAGAGGGTAAAATACATGCCGACCGGAAGTAGGAATCAGTTTGAAGTACACCCTGAATGTTGTCATAGACTACGTCATATTATTATAAAATGCGACCGGAAAATAACTGTCCGATAGAAATCGAACATTTGTAGTGTACGACGTGTTCGGATTTTTTTTTTTTAATTTCCGCGTCCCAAAGGTTTTGCGCAAACATTTAAGCTGGTCGAATACTGAAAGTTGTCTGTCAACACAATTTGTCACAGTTGTCGTTTATATCGTATTTATTGACGTCAAGAGAATACGATTAGGTACTTTATAAAGTGGCCTAATTTATTTTAGACCAACTCAATTTAAGGAAACTATAATGTTTGTAGTAATAATTAGTTCTTGTAATTATACGATTTTATATAATTTTTTTTCTTGAAAAAGTGTTCATATTATAAATTCCAATTTGAGGAAGACTAATTTCTGCTAGTCATAATTTGTGATTATCAGCGTCATACGAATTTCGTTTTGCCAGATTATTCGAGACAATAAATAATGTTCACATTGTGCATCCACGGACGACACGGTTTGAGTCAAATCACTAAACAGTAAACATAGACAGCCACTTGTTATTTCTGTATCCATGTCGATTATTCTGACTTGACCCCGGTGTTGTGCCGACTACCAAGGTGGACTTTATCGATGCGATTTCCATTCGAACGTCCTATTTTCGGTTATCAGTGGGAGCATGATAATTTGGGTTAAATATTGTATGGGGGTGCTAGATTTTTTTGACTTAAGTGATCAGTGGTTGGATTTGCCCACCCCCCCCCCCTACCCGCTCGATCCATACAACTTAATTGTTAATTTCACATTAATCTTAATATAAACAATTACCTATAACATAAATACACAATACACATTTTTCTATATTATTATTCTGATAGGTACCTATGTATTATTATTATTATGAAAATGATAAGTTCTTAGAAATAAATGTATCCAAATACCTATGGCATAATAATCAAGTCAATAAAAATTTAACGATGCTATCAAACATTTGGGGGTGCTAATATGAACTTTGGGGGAGCTTAGCATCCCCAAGAACCCCCCAAATTGCACCTGTGAGTGAATTTCATCGTCTCCCATCGTCATATTTCTTATCGTACCTTTATTACGAATGTATACTGTATATACCATATATGGTGAGAGTATATTAAAATTAAAAAAAAACAAAACAAAAGTAAGTGTCAAACAAAATCATATTTTATGGAATTAAAAATCAATATTTACAGTGATTTTAGCTTAGGATTGATAATGACTTATGATAATATTATGTGCTATATACATATACTATTTGTTTGAAAAATGAAACCATCCATTCTAATGTATAGTTTTGTGAGAAATTTGCAAAAATATTTCGTAATAATTAAATTACACCACATAAATCCATAGGTAATACACAAACCAAGAAAACATTTTGTAGTCTAGACACGAAGCTAATTAAGGATTTGACACTACAATATTAAATGACAAAAAAAAAGAGAATTTTTCTCATTTATTTCATTATTTGTATTAATATAACCTTTAACTTAGATATTATTATTTTTTCTCCAAAGAATAGGAATACGCTGTGAAAAGATAGAATCAAAAATTCTAGGTTATCATAATGTATAATCATGTATTGTGACCTGAGGGCTTAGCGGGATTTACTTTTAAACAACTATACACGGTAGTATCGAAAAATATAATAACATTTTACTGTGGAAAGAAGTATAAAATAGAGAAGGTGGCCATGAAGGGTAAAGTTATATGTTTTATTTTAGGGCACTACCCGGCCAGTTGGCAAAAAATGAAGGGAAAAATATAACGGTTTCCGATCACATAAACTCAAATAGCCTCCGGGGACCCACAGCGGTGGAGAATGATTAAATTTCAGCAAATTATATTTGGTCTGGTTTTGGGGAGATATACCACCCATAGGCTATAAGACCAGTGCACAAATGCACACATATGAACATGTAAATACATATAATATAATATATTTCCCAGTACGTGTTTGACCACCGACAGTTAAGCACGTGTATAGCTCTCGTGACTGAGCATTTATTTAGCTTCCGATTGAAGTATAGTGCTCCGTTATCTTCACCGATGGCTGATAAACAGAAAATATGTTTTTGACGATTATTTAATATCGACCAAACAGCCTAATGAATAACAAAGATAAAACAGGCAATCTGCCTTTATCAAAATCTACATACAGAAAGAATATCCCAACACCTATAGGAACAACTCCTAAATACACGAACAAAAATACAAATAAACTTTCTCCTGTGTATATCTCATAAAAACCAAAACAAAACACAAAATCAAGCTCAAATGTCGTACTTAAAAACAACGACAGCATTACCATCACTCTCTACCTCAACCTCCCATCACATCAATACTCACCGTCTACCTCTCTACAGTCTACGGCTTCTCTGATTATCGCCACAGTTATCAATAATGACACTACCGCTGCCAATAATAAACCAAACGAAATTGGCATGGTCCCCGATAACACCCAGTACAACACACTACACAACCATAATCAACCTCCTGTTTCACCACCATCACTTCGAACGAAAAAACACCGCCTAGAGAACAAGCTCTAGTTTTTAACTCTATCGATGGCATTCGTCAAGTCGAATACATTCTGGAAATCGAAAACTGATATCACCAAAAGGCATAATATATGTATCAAGAATCTCCAACAAAATGGTCAGCTAAATCCGGTTACCGTTTTTCTGCCTCAAAATCTCAGAGCATCCTTTTCTCCCTCCAAAAAAAATATCAGATAATAGACATCAAAATATACAATGCTCCAATACACAACACAAGACTTCTAAAAATTCGACACAAGAAAAAATTGGTGCGCCCACCTGAAAGAACTTAGAAAAGCAACAATAACAAGAATAAACATTCTCAAGATGTTGACCCACACCTCTTGGGGTGAATATTCGTCCTCACTCAAAATTATATACAAATCCCTCATACTGTCAAAATTGGAATACGGATCCTTCCTCTTCATCAATGTGAAACCTTCGATCTTAAAAATGATAACAGTTCATAACTCCGGCCTAAGGTTAGTATCTAGAGCATTTCGTTCGTCTCCAATTCCCAGCCTACTCAACATTACCCAAACCCCTCCCATCGGCCTAATAAGGAAAAAGAACGCTATGATCCTAGCCTCTAGACGTTCACAGAATAACCTCCCCTCACATAAAGGTATTAGAAACCTCCTACAAAACACAAATATTGATCTTTCCGGAATTATCAGACACGAATGTCCTTATATTCCCTCGTGGATCATGGATATCAATATAAACACCACATTATCCTTACTTCCCAAAGCCGATATGAAAGAATTTCACTCATTCTTGGATAACCACCAAAAACATACTAAGTTTTTCATCGACAATTCTAAAACAAACTTGGGCGTGGGAGCTGCAGTTTTATACAACGAAATAAAACAAATGTTCAAGCTACCAGATTTCTGCTTAGTCTTCACAGCCTGAGCCACTGCGAACTCCCAAGCTCTCGATTTCATATATGAAAATAGAATAAATAAAGCCATAATCTTTAGTGACTCTCTTAGCACCTTAACTGGTATTCTAAATATACACCAACCCAACAGTATATCTAGAAAAATCCACAACCAGATACACCTCCTTAAAATCAATGCACAGACCATCATTCTCTGCTGGGTACCTAGCAAGCCCGGAATCCAGGGAAATGAATCGGCTGATATATATGCCAAAGAGGCCATCTCCTCCCATCTCTCTTACCAAAGCCACACCTATGTACTTTCCAGGATCTAATATCTAAAAACCATCATTGACAGCCACATTTTAACTCAATGGCAGATATTGTGGTCAACACTCCACACCAAGCTCAATAAAATGCAACCCGCAGTCTCCCCATGGCCATTCTTCTCATTACCAAGATGCCAGGAAGTAATTCTAAACAGGCTACGGATTGGTCACACATTGGTGACTCTTAAACACCTCATGAGCAGATCTGAACCTGATCAATGCCAAACTTGCGGTTAAACCTCCACGGTGAAACACCTAATATGCCACTGCAGTAAATTTTCCATCAGATCCAAGCTCAACATAGAAGAAAACCTGGAAGAAGCTCTAAGTCCACAGCCAATCAACATGGAAAAAATAATTCATTATTTAAAATTAACTAAACTATACCAACTAATATAATCTAGACATATTTCATTCTCTTTATTTTATACTATTATTATTATGTTATGTATATATAATTATTAATGCTTCATACTTATGCTAAAATATATTTATGTTTGTAGCCAATAAAATCTGTTGTTGAGGCTTATTTCTAATAAAAAAAAAATATATATATGTATTTCCACCCACATTCATTTAGTTCAATGGTCGCTGTCATTGTCATAAAATTATTTTGAATAAGAATTTACCACATATTTTTGTTTTATTAATACATTAAAAAAAAAATTGTACTTATTATGATATTTTAGTTTTAATAAACGCATAGTTGCTTAACATGTATTTTTAATTTAAGGTGTCTATAAACTAATACAACACATAATAATTTTTGAATTTAAATTATACAAATTATAAATCAAATAAAAAAAAATTCTCTAAAACAGTGGCTGTATATTACAAAATATAAACATAGACGTCATCTATTTAATCTATATTGTTAGCTTAAAGAAAGCAGTATTTAATTTTACGAAGACATTTTTTATTTATTTATTTATTAATTTATACATTATATGTTTGCACCCAAGGTCCAATATTTATCATAAATATAATTTATAATAAACATATAGGTAGTGATATTATTTGGGTGACATAATATACATAATATATTATAGTTAAACAGATGATATTATTAGTTTTGACTTTGTTCAAATTATGATTTATAATTGTATATTTTAACAACAGAGATTAAAACAACTTTTCTAGTAATATTTTGAAATTCACAAAAATGATTTGTAATGCTGTAATAATACTGATATAATAACCAAAATAAATAAGTGAACTTATTGGGCCATGTAATTTCCGGTAATATATCTTCGATTTTTTTTTCAAATTACTTTATTCGTTTAAAAATTGATAATAAATTTAGTTCTAAGTATAATTTTGGACAGCTTATATTATAGTGAACACCTTAATATTTGGTTGGAATCGTATCAAGTTCGTTTAATGATTTATTATACTATTTCACTCTTTAAAACTGTATACCATGTGTTACAAAAGTAATTTGTCATCAGTTTTTTTTATTATTATTATATAGTATACGTATGCCATATGTTATATATTATTTTCCAATTTTGAGATAAAACAAAACGTTGATTAAAACTCAAGTGTGGTTTATATAAGACCTGAGACAAGTAAAACTAAAACAGTATGGTTAGTATGTATTACTTATTTGCAATGAAAGTAAACTAACAAAAATAGAGTAGTATTGTTACAAACAAAACAATTATTTACTATTTAGTATTTACTTAAATTAGTTTAATTTAAATTACGAGAAATTGTGTAAAAATGGAAAATACTAACAAAACAGTCAGTCAAGCACTTGATATAGCGTTGTTTACTTCAAACCAATAAAACACATTAGGTACAAGTTATTTATTTCAATAAAAATTAAACATCATAATAATTACTACCGAGTGACCAATAGGTATCAATCTAAATTCTAAATTTGTGATTATAGTAAATGTGTTTTTTGTCAATATTATTATAGTTGTTAATTGTACATACAAAACATAAAAAGTATAATTATGAAATTGTAACTTTTTAAAATAACATTAATTCATAAAAGAATACCTAATAGTATTATTATTTAGCTTGAAATGCAGTGAATAATATTCGAGTAAAAAGTCACGTGAAAGCTTCTGGTGTTAAAGTAATAGACAAATAGTAGTCATCTCTCTAGTCGCGTGAATTATTTTTAACCTAAAACGTATAGGCATTTCCCCCCTCCATAAATGTATATATTATTATCATTGTCTATTGCTAAGTGAATTTATTGACACTCATAAAAATGCGTTCAACAGTTGATTCCAAAGTAATCCTCATAAAATAATTTGGTACGAAGTGGTGGATAGATAATAGGTAATAGAAATAAGTGAATAAGTCTCAATTTTAAGTAGTACCAATGCTTTAATTGGTATATTATTAAAACTTAAATAAAATAAAATGTCCATGAAAATATTATTATATTTTATTTCTCTTGGAATTAATCCAAGAATGATTATAATTAATTTTATAGTGGATGGTATTTTTAAAGAAAATAAAGTAAAGCGATGAAAATGCTAATAGAAAAAATAAAGAGATTACGCTGCAGTACTTTGACCACGGTTGGTGTTTTTATGAATTATTATTATTGGCTGGTATATAACAATAAAGTTATATTATATTTTATGCATTGTGATGATATTATTATATTGTATGGAATTTAGTTTTCGATACACGTCATACGGTTATGTTTATACGAAGGTTAGTCAACTAAAATATGATATAAAATATTGAAACGAGTATTAGATAAGCAAACTTCTCTTGTCAGTTGTTGTCGTACATATATCTCAAATCTCAGATGTGTCTAAAATTATTGGTTTTTATAGTAGTTTGAATTCCATAATATCAGTGTACGTGCTTTAAAACACGCACAATACAGCATGTATGATGGAAATCCGGTCTCATTATTCAACGTCTCCGAAGCTCATCGTCTGACATGATTCAATCTGTTGGGAAACTAGGCATTCACGATACTATAGTGAACATGACCATACTAATACTAGGTGACAAATGTTTGTGGGCTTGTCAGTACAGCTTTGGATTGTTCTGGTTTTAAATTCATTACAAATTGACTTATATATAAAAACATGTAACATAATATTATACCTATACATACATAGTGCATTCTAAGTACTCTACTGAATAGTAAATATTAGACATGGTTTTTTTCTATTAGTCATGTCGAATAATAATATTAGACTAGGTACTGCATTTTATTAGATTTTAAAATTGATTTTATTTAAGCAATTGTATACAAAAAAACATCATTATTTTTAACCATTTAAAGTTTGATTATGAATTATTGTTATTGTTATTGTTATTGTTTTTTTTTTCAAAACTGTTTATTTTATTTACATTACATTGCCGTATATTGGTCAAAATGTAAAACTAACAATAAATTGAAAAAAAAAATCAACCACGTACATAAATAATAATTTAATTTAAAAAAATAATATATCCCATTGCTGCACAAAAAAATGGTTTATTAAAAGTTTGTTTTTTCTGTGTGAAAATATATAAATTCTCAGGAGCAATGCTTATTAAATATTCAGTTATTTTTTGAATAAACACCACAAGGACTAACAAATAACAAAAATGAGTTTTTATAATATCAATAAAATTGTTTCAAAGTAAGTGTGATTATAACCTTGATATATATTAAAAAACTACCTACATCAACTACAAAACTTCAATAAAATTGTCTGTAGATTGTCGATGTTGGTCGTCAATCAAAATGTTAAAGTTTTATGGAACTACGTATTCAAGTGAGTATAATTATTTTACATTATGGCAATATGGCTATTAAAAACTGAACAAGAGAAATATATTTTCCTCTTTATCCCAGTTAACCTAAATGCTCATACAACTCATGAAAGTCTTCCCATTTTGAAGTCGTTAAAAGAGTTTAGTTGGTACCACATATTTTTTTTTTTAAATTGGGTTTCATATTTTGAACAAGCAGTTGTATGTATTGTTTTATTTGATAAAAAAAAAAATTAAACTGTAGACAAATAAAGCTAAAAAACTCAAAAAATATGTTTTATTAATAAAATAGTAAAATGTGTATAGGTATACACTATAGTGTATACGCTATAATTAAGTATATCTAACACGTGAAGTTATTGTTATATAGTAAAATGTATTTAATACAAATATAAATTATGTTTTTCATTAAGACTTTCTTTATTTCTTAAATTATATCTATACAATTCAATGGTTGTGTTATATAAACTCAAAAAATACTCAACAGATTCCGACAAAGATTGCCAAGGATATGTTTGGAGATAACTAAAAAATTTAGTAGTTTGAACCACTCTGAATAGAGCATTTATTCATTTATTTTTGTTGATTACATACCATGTAATCTATAAACTTCTATTGTTTATGAATGCTTTGTAACATAGTGTTGCGCTGTTATCAGTTTTTGTTAATGAATCGAAACTTTATTCGTAAACTTTAAATCAACAATTTGACAAATGAGAAACAAAAACAAGACACATGTGAGTCATGTTTTGTGTTAACATTGTGAAATTTAGTTGAGCTAGCAACACTACACTACACAGAACGTACACTCAGAGCATTTACGCAGTTTAGTGTACGGACCTCGCCACACCATTATTTATATCATTGTATGTTTTGAATCACATACGATGATTATTAGGTTTGAAAAAATATAAAAATTCCGAGTTGGTATCTATACTATTTGCTTTGAATATTGGCTAGTG